CACCTATCAGGCTGCCGAAAAGCAAGGGCCCAGACGCGCTGTTAAAATGCCACAGCGCCTGACCGGGCCCTTGCTGACACAGGCCCACCGGGTGGGCCTAAGTGCATGGGCCACCCGATGGGCCCCCATAGTTTGCAAGAAGAGGGCCCCGTTTGCCTCGCGTTAAAGATGGCCCTGTGTGTTTGTATGCAGTGTTGGCATTTGAACGCATGCATGCATTTGTGTATTGGTTTTTGAATGCAGGGTTGTGTTTCAATATATGCATTTATGCTGTCCTGAAGAAAATATTGACATGTTGCATCACTATATGCACTTTATTGAGTAGACTTTTTAAGAAATGATGAAATAAATGCTACATTTTAAGAAAGACCGTGAGTGCAGACTACTATTACCTTCTATTCTGTATATATGTGTGTGTATATATATATATATTTAAAATTCTGGTTCTTGCTTTCAAATCTCTACATAATGCTACCCCCACCTATCTATCCTCCCTTATACACAAGTATGTCCCGTCTAGGCCCTTACGATCTGCTGAAGACTTACGTCTATCTTCTGTCCGTACTCCCACCTCTGATGCTCGCCTTCAAGATTTCTCGAGAGCTGCACCGTTCCTGTGGAACTCGCTTCCCTCCTCGGTTAGATGCTCACCCAGTCTCCACTCCTTCAAAAAAAATCGTTAAAAACCCACTTCTTCATAAAAGCGTATCAATTAAACTCTTAATAGCTCCTGACTGATTCCTCTTCTGCAACTGTCATTAGTCTAATACGATCCTTACCTTTTTGTGTCATTTTACCCCACTCCCTCTAGCATGTAAGCTACTACATGTCTGTTCGCCCACCCATTGTAAAGCGCTGCGGAATTTGACGGGGCTCTATAAATATCATAATAATAATAATAATAATATATATATAGCATTTTAATACACAGGTCTGTTTGCATGTAATGTAGAGGTTTGAATGCAGTGGTGTGTTTGACAGATACACACACACACTAACACACACACCAACTCACATTAACACACTCACTTTTTTTTTTTTTAATTCAACCCCCCCAGCCTCCTTACCTTTGGGAATGCTGGGGAGGAGGGGTTCTCTCTTTCCCTGGGGTCCAGTGGGGCTGCTGGGCGGGCAGTTGGGTGGGCGGCGTTGGCTAGGGAGTACTGATTAGTGAGCTCTCTGCTCAGCTCTTTCGCGCGCCGCAGAGTGATGCTGGAAGCCAGAATATGACGTCATATTTCGGCTCCCGGCATCACTCTGCGGCCTGTGAGGGAACTGAGCACAGAGCTCAGGGGAAAGTGCTCCCTCGTCAGCGCCGCCCACCCGACCGGATTTTTAGTTAGCCGCCAGGCTAACAAGACATTTGTCCTGGGCATTTGGGGGAGGCTTTTTTTGCCTCCCCATGGAAAATGCCGCCCAAAGCAAATGCCTTGTTTGCCACGTGGCTAATACGTCCCTGCCTATCACTATAGTGATCCTTTAAGGACAATTGCAAACAGATTTCAATAATTGTATACATCTGAATGAAAATGTTGCATTTTCTGTTACAACTGTCTGTCTGTTTCAGTAGTTTTTAAACCTGTTTTTATACTCAGTGCAAATTTTCTTTACTATAAATAGGCACTTTATGTGGATTTTAATACATTTTGATTATAACATTTTACAGTTTTTGTTATTTTTTTTTTAATTGATTTTAAGCGGACACATTTAGGTCAATATTTGCTAAAAGGTTTTGAAACCTGGATTGCAGAGACAAAAGCTGGTATTAAAAGTTAAAGGCCATATTTTATAAATTCATAAGGGGCCATTTATATATTAACTGAAACAACATATTGATTTAAATGTACAATATTCCCTGTGGAAAATACTAAAAGCGTATAATTACTGGAAATTCGTATATAAAAGCTATTAACTGTAAAATATCAATTCCATTAACTGGGGCAGCACAAAACATTTTCTATTGCAGTATAAAACATATTCCTACATAATGTAGATCACCACACTATTAATCTTTTTACGTTTAACATTTTTATTTACATAAAATTTACATGATAGTAACACAATTTTATAATGTAAATACCGGTGTTTTAAGCTGTATGTATATGTATGTAAGTTTATGTATATTAGACTTTAGTTTGGCGCTAATAAATATTTGTCCACATTCCACAGTTCCGGCAAATTTGCCAGTAGGAAATAAAACTGTACACGCAACTACGTGATGTCCATTTAGGATTAGAGGTTGTACGTATGGCAACAAAAAAGGATTCTGAATGTAAAGAAAGCTATTGTTTATTTTTGTTAATTTGAAGCTAAGTTTGCCATGAAGGACAAGAGATCTGTCCAATGATGTAGGCTGTCGAATAAAGAAGTGTGAAAATAAAAGATTATTGATAATTGAGGGATATCCACCAAATGTTCATTTTATTAATTTAAGTAACAAGCGACAAATAGAGGGATACAAGCACTGTCATTGGCACAGTGCCACTTACACAAACTTTAATTTGAATTTGGATATATCCTATTTAATAATAGTATAATTGATCCTGGAGTGAGACTAATGGTAAGGTTACAGGTGTGCCTACTTACACCAACTTGGTTCACTGTCTTACAGTTTGACAAGTAAATTTTTTTTAATTTTTTTGGAAAAACATTTTTTTTTTTTGCTAAGTAAAAAATAATAATTAAAAATAAAAGCAGAGCAAAGTGCCATAAGGCAATAGTGATGCACCGAACGGTTCGCTGGCGAATAGTTCCTGGCGAACATAGCATCTTCGCGTTCGCCACGGCGGGTGAACTTATGCGCGGTTTGATCCGCCCCCTTTTTGTCATCATTGAGTAAACTTTGACCCTGTACCTCACAGTCAGCAGACACATTCCAGCCAATTAGCAGCACACCCTCCCTAGCAGACCCTCCCACCTACTGGACAGCATCCATTTTACATTCATTCTCAAGCTGCATGCTTAGTGAGAGGAGGGAAAGTGTAGCTGCTGTTGATTAGATAGGGAAATGGATAGCTAGGTTAGGGTATACAGTGTCCACTACAGTCCTGAAGGACTCATCTGATCTCTGCTATAAGGACAGCACCCCAAAAAGCCCTTTTAGGGCTAGAACATCAGTCTGCTTTTTTTTTTTTTCTGTGTAATGTAATTGAAGTTAGTTGTCTGCCAGCTTCTGTGTCAGGCTCACAGTGGATACTGTGCCCAGTGCCACCACTCACTCACTAGTGTCACAATAGCTTGCATTTAAAAAAAAAAATTGTTTTCACTATAATAGATTGAATAGCAGTTAGTTGTCTGCCAGCTTCTCTGTCAGGCTCACAGTGGATACCGTGCCCAGTGCCACCACTCACTGGGGTCACAATAGCTTGCATTTAAAAAAAAACATTTTTTTTTCACTATAATAGATTGAATAGCAGTTAGTTGTCTGCCAGCTTCTGTGTCAGGCTCACAGTGGATACTGTGCCCAGTGCCACCACTCACTCACCGGTGTCACAATAGCTTGCATTTAAAAACAAAAATCTTTTTTCACTATTATAGATTGAATAGCAGTTAGTTGTCTGCCAGCTTCTGTGTCAGGCTCACAGTGGATACTGTGCCCAGTGCCACCACTCACTCACTGGTGTCACAATAGCTTGCATTTAAAAACCAAAAACTTTTTTCACTGTTATAGATTGAATAGCAGTTAGTTGTCTTCAAGCGGGTGTGTCAGCCCTACAGCGTGTACTCTGTCAACCTCTGCCAGTTCACAGTGCCACTCATATCTGGTGTCACAGTAGCTTGCACGCATAGTACCACTAATCGAAAAAAAAATGACAGGCAGAGGCAGGCCACCCCTGACGGCTGCCAAGCATTGGGTAAACCTGCTGACGGCTGCCAAGCATGGAATGCGTGGCTCTGCAGAGGAATTGGTGACACCGCCACGACTTGCAGGCAGGCCTGCTGCCACCTCCTCTACTCCTCCTACTCCATCCTCTTCCATAACCTCCTCGGCTGAGTCCTCTTCTGCTGCTGCATCTTGCTCCACATCAACGGATAGGGGACGTAACAGGGATTAAACTGATAAGAATAGTACTACTTAACACACCACTCCTATCTGGTGGCACATTAGATTGCACATGCAGTGCCCCAAATTTGAAGTAGGAGGACCGACCAAGCATCTTTTTCCATCTCCCGGTTCCTAAAATCGATGCCATATACATGTCCCCTGATAGGGGACGTAACAGGGATTAAACTGATAGGAATAATACTACTTAACACACCTTATAATAACGCAGAGAAAGGCAACGCAGAGAGAGGAGTCTGAAGAAGAGGAGTCAGAGGAGGAAGGTGGCTTTGAGGAGGTGGAAGACCAAACACAGCAGGAGTCCCAGGGGGCTTGTTGTCACCTTTTGGGGACCCTTGGTGTTGTACGTGGCTGGGTGGAGGAAGAGACCTTCAATGACATCAGTGAGGACAAGGAACGGACATGGCTAGCTTGGTATCCAACCTTGTGCAAATGGGGAGTTTGCGGTTGTGGACTGGCGGTTGTTTGCGGTGCGTTAAAGGGAGTTTGGTCTGTCACTGTGATGCGGGCATAACCCTTACACTACCTGATTGATACAACATCATACAGTAGGTCCCCCCCCTCATTATTTTTATGGCCCCCACCCACCGCTCACGGGTGGGGGCGGGTGGGAGGACAGTATGGCCCCCACCCGTGAGCGGTGCGTGGGGGCCATAAAAATAATGAGGGGGGGGACCTACTGTATGATGTTGTATCGATCAGGTAGTGTAAGGGTTATGCCCGCTTCACAGTGACAGACCAAACTCCCCGTTTAACCCCATTGAGATTTATGGCCCCCACCCACCATGCAGGAGTGGGGGCCGGGGGGAGGACAGTAGGTCCCCCCTTATCGTTATTTACTGAATATTCCCCTGCATAACAATGTTTGGCATTTAGTGAATATTCCCTATTCTGCTCTGTGTCAGTGTGTATCAGGGATCCTTAGGATAGGTGTCAATCCAAATCTGCCAAGTGACCCTATGTAGGGGGAACATTCCCTATTCTGCTCTGTGTCAGTGTGTATCAGGGATCCTTAGGATAGGTATCAATCCATATCTGCCAAGTGACCCTATGTAGGGGGAACAGTCCCTATTCTGCTCTGTGTCAGTGTGTATCAGGGATCCTTAGGATAGGTGTCAATCCATATCTGCCAAGTGACCCTATGTAGGGGGAACAGTCTCTATTCTGCTCTGTGTCAGTGTGTATCATGGTCTCTGAGGACAGGTGTCAATCCATATCTGCCAAGTGACCCTATGTAGGAGAACAGTCTATATTCTGCTCTGTGTCAGTGTGTATCATGGTCTCTGAGGACAGGTGTCAATCCATCTCTGCCAAGTGACCCTATGTAGGAGGAACAGTCTCTATTCTGCTCTGTTTCAGTGTGTATCAGGGTCTCTGAGTTCAGGTGTCAATCCATATCTGCCAAGTGACCCTATGTAGGAGAACAGTCTCTATTCTGCTCTGTGTCAGTGTGTATCATGGTCTCTGAGGACAGGTGTCAATCCATTCCTGCCAAGTGACCCTATGTAGGGGGAACAGTCTCTATTCTGCTCTGTTTCAGTGTGTATCAGGGATCCTGAGGACAGGTGTCAATCCATATCTGCCAAGTGACCCTATGTAGGAGAACAGTCTCTATTCTGCTCTGTGTCAGTGTGTATCAGGGGCTCTGAGGACAGGTGTCAATCCATATCTGCCAAGTGACCCTATGTGGGAGAACAGTCTCTATTCTGCTCTGTGTCAGTGTGTATCATGGTCTCTGAGGACAGGTGTCAATCCATATCTGCCAAGTGACCCTATGTAGGAGGAACAGTCTCTATTCTTCTCTGTGTCAGTGTGTATTAGGGTCTCTGAGGACAGGTGTCAATCCATATCTGCCAAGTGACCCTATGTAGGGGGAACAGTCTCTATTCTGCTCTGTGTCAGTGTGTATCAGGGTCTCTGAGTTCAGGTGTCAATCCATATCTGCCAAATGACCCTATGTAGGAGAACAGTCTCTATTCTGCTCTGTGTCAGTGTGTATCATGGTCTCTGAGGACAGGTGTCAATCCATATATGCCAAGTGACCCTATGTAGGAGGAACAGTCTCTATTCTGCTCTGTGTCAGTGTGCATCATGGTCTCTGAGGACAGGTGTCAATCCATACCTGCCAAGTGACCCTATGTCGGGGGAACAGTCCGTATTCTGCTCTGTGTCAATATGTCATATGTCAGGTATCAATCCATATCCATTGTGATTTAGGAATATTAGGTGATTTCTGCCCTTTATGGATTAAGACCAGACTCTGCATCAACTGTGTAATTTTCCATAGGAGTTTTGCCATGGATCCCCCTCCGGCATGCCACAGTCCAGGTGTTAGTCCACTTGAAACAACTTTTCCATCACTATTGTGGCCAGAAAGAGTCCCTGTGTGTTTTAAAATTCGCCTGCCCATTGAAGTCTATGGCGGTTCGCCCGGTTCGCCGGTTCGCGAACATTTGCGGAAGTTTGCGTTCGCCGTAAACGAACCGAATATTTTGTGTTCGCGACATTACTATAAGGCAATGGCAGATGTCAGATTCCCATGTAAGTGTCTGCCAGTTCACTCTTGAACATTTGGTTGGATTTCATTCCTGAGCCATATCAAAAGAACAGACTAACAAACTCACCTTACTGATTTTCCAGCTGAAAGTTGTAGGGAAAAGGCACACTGTCCATGTTGCCTGTGTATTGTGGTGCTAGTGGAGGAGGTCCAACCTTAGCAGAACGGCAGTCTAAGAGTTGTTCTTTATGGCAGCAGGACAACCAGAATCTCCTGCTATATGTGGAAGTGATAGAGGAAAGCCACACTTCAGCAAACATCTTTCAAGCAATGAGAAAAATGGTGGGAAATTAGTTGAGAGTGCCGCCAGACACTCATGTGCACGTTGGCTTCATAGTCAACAGTGAAAATGCTAACATGCTCAAAAAATAAACCTAACAACCCAAAATAAACATTTAACAAAAATTAGCTTAAACTGAAAACTGACGAATAACAAAAAAAACAACTGCCTGTTGTCATAAAAATACAAATGCAGTGCAATGATAAAAATAATACTAGAACATAAAAATAAGTCATGAAAGCAGCATTCCAAAACAAAAAGGGGATGACAACTCAACTACTAAGCTCAAATAAGTATACATATGGTTGCTCTAAAGATATAACTATTGCTTTGTTGCCGGGGCTTAAAAATTGGACAATAATATAGCAGATAGTAGCTATTCTAAACCATTAAAGGATGTGACAGAAACTTTGAGCCACAGTAATGCCAGTTTGGAAAAGGTCTTCCATTTGTGTATCTGCCTCATAAGCAAGATAGATGCAACAGGGAAGTTGTTCCTGGCAGCAAACTGCAGACCATTGTAACAGTAATGGTTAACAGGCTGAATGATGAATACAAAGCTTGTGTTTGCGAACAAGTTACTAATTACTAGTTGCTAAGTGAACTGATGCAGGCTTCCCCATGTGATCCTAGAAACAGGCTGTAGCAGAATGAATGTTTGTCGTACTCTTTTCATTCCATTTGTTCAGCTGTCCATACCCGCCGTTCGTTTACCGAACCCCCACCTGTATGGTCCACGGGTTTGCATCTTTTAACAATCGAACACCCCTGGCTGTGAACCACAAATTGCTTGTTAAAGAAAGTGTTTCCCCTGTGTGGCCGCCGTTTTGATCACCAAACACACATGTGCAAAAAACGGCGGCCATTTTGTCTCTCAAACGTGGGCAGCGGTACATGGTCTTCGACGACCTGGAACTAATTTCGGCTAATCTACCCCGTGAACGCCTGGGAGACCTAAACTACCGAACGGGGGGACATTCGTATGCTAGCAGCCAGGGGGGGCCTTCATCAGCATTCATGTGCGAACCCTCTAAAGAAGACCGGTCAAGCCTTATTTTCTCTGGAACTGTTTTGGGGCTTCACCTCGTGGCTGACCGGTCAAAATATCTTATAAAATAGAATAATTTATAAAATAGGAATGGGGCGTGGCCTAGACTCTGATGTGTGCAGATGTGCTTGAGCAGAGCTCTCGATGGATCAAATAAATATTGGCCAATTCACGTATACCACTGTGACCATGGGCAACAGTAAGAAATTCCTGGCAGCCCAAGAGGCATCAGACCCAATAGCAACCAAGAAATCGGGTGAACTTGACCGTTACTTTTGGGACAAAACGAGGGCCTTAGCTCTTGAGGGAAATTACAGCATGTCAGCGCTATCTTTATTATTGCCTGTTATCAAAGCCAAGTAATGCCTTTTCCAAAACTGAACTCTTACATATATGTAACATATTACTTTTTGATGCAAATTTTATGAGTCTACTAACAGTAAGATACCGTATGAGAACCAATGCATGATATTACTGAAGTGGGAAAATCAATTGCTAATTTTAATTTACTGTCATATACTCTCAACTACTGTAAGACTTGTCAGTATTACTATTGTCCTTATTTATCTGTAACATCCCTCTTTTATAATAAAAATGTACCATAATAAAATAAAACTAAAAAATAAGAATGATATGCGCTTCTCACACGACAATAATGAGTGTATATCTGTCAGGATTACTGTTGAACCAGCACGCAGAAATAGTATCACACCTATGACTAAGGATAACGTCTAACCGGACCTTAGAATGGCCAGACTTAACATATCCGAGAATAGTCAAAATACTTGCCGAGGTCAGGGACACAGAATGAGACACAACCAGGGGCGTACCTAGAGCATTTGGCACCTGGGGCGGATCCTGTGCTTGGCACCCCCCCCCCACCCAAAAAAAAAAAAACCTGTAAAAAATGTTAAAGGTTTTCTTTCTTTTTTTTTTTTACAATTTATAAACTTTGCAAAACCGCTGTCAGCCCCTCCTACAAAACCCTTGTCCTGCCCCGCCCCTCCTACAAAACCTCTGTCCTGCCCCTTCTACAAATCCTGTACTGCCCCATCTACAAAACCCCCGCAACCCCGTCCACAAATCCCCTGCTTATCCCCCTTATAAAGACTCCTGTCCCAATACAAAACCCGCCCCCTTCTACAAAATCCCTGCAGCCCCACACACACATTTACAGGCAGACAGTCACACACTCAGTTACAGACAGACAGTCACACACAGTCACAGGCAGACAGTCACACATACACATTTCCTCCGTGCGCCCAGTTTAGCAGCTGTTTGATTGTGTGAGCTGTACTGGCCGCACGGCACCCTAACTACCATGGGGCACTGTGCGGCCACAGCTCACACAGCCCCCTCCAGCCAGGACTGGTGCAAGGATTTTTGCCGCCCTAGGCAAAAGTAAAGTTTGCCGCCCCCCCATGTGACATCACAATGCCCACCCATGTGATTTGCCATTTTAACTAATGCCAGTGCTGCAGTGCCGCCGTGTTTACATTAAAAGGCCTGCAGGGACAGACTATAGACACCAGAACCACTACATTAAGCTGAAGTGGTTCTGGGGACTATAGTGTTTCTTTAATGTGAGGTAAATTAGAGATTAGTGCCATGAATAATATACTAGATTGCCTACTTACAACCAGATGAGGATGATGATGGGCTCTAGCTGCCGTCTGGCTCCACTGGTCTGGTGTAGAACAGGCTCTCTGGAGGCGGTTTGTAACTGTGGTCACAAAAATCAATGTTCTGGGAGAACGGGAAGCAGCTCCATTTTTTGGGGGCCCTTTACACAGCTCAAGGTCTGGGTCCCAGGGTCCACCTTCATGTTCCACCAATGAGTTTGTTCACAGGGGGTGGAGTGTGTAGGGGATGTCCTGATATGTGTGTAAGGAATGCATTGTGTGAAATTGTTTGTATGTGTAAGGGCTGCAAGGTGTGTTTCTGTGTATGTACGGGATGCATTGAATGTGTGTAAGGGATGCATTGTGTGTAACGGTTGCATTGCTTGTGTATGTGTGACTGTGTGTGTAATGCATTGTGTGTATGTGATGAATGTAAATCTCCCCCCCCTCCTTCTCCCAATTTATCAATCTCCCCCCCTCCTCCTCCCAATTTCTCAATTCCCCCCCCTCCTCCTCCCAATTTCTCAATCTCCCCCCCTCCTCCTCCCAATTTCTCAATCTCCCCCCCTCCTCCTCCCAATTTTCTCTCCCCTCCTCCTCCCAATTTCTCTATCTCTCCCCTCCCAATTTCTCTATCTCTCCCCCTCCCAATTTCTCCTATCTCTCCCCCCCTCCCAATTCTCTCCCTCTCTCCCCTCCCAATTTCTCTATCTCT